GTGCATTTCACTACAGCCAGCCAAACCCTTTGCATAGTTAACTGGATTTCCAGGAGCTTTCAAGTTCAAGACTCATGAAAGAGGTACTAATCTTTAAAAATAGTAATTCCAACATCTCTTTCTCTTGGGAGTGAGCAGACTACATAGGACGTGAGTTCTGGATCTATTTTCCTTCTATACGCAAAAGAAACCCCAGTGTCTTGACGCCAAAGGTTCAAAGACTCAAGGTGGCAGGGAACCTGCATGTTCGTCTGTGGGAAATACTTACAGTTGGCTTATCACGGTGAGTATTCACAGCCTCTACACTGAGCTTAATGGTTTCCACTTTGCACCCTGGGAAAACAGAGGAAAGAACTGAGGCCTTCAGGAAAAAACCTCAAGGACAAATTCCTTAAGTTTCAGTACGGGAAAGCACACCATAAAAGAATGCATGTATTCCCAAATCCATACATACATTTAGAAACGGAAGGCACTGATGGAACTTTCCTGGTATCCAGGGGTGATGAAGTTGAACTTCTACACAAACTTCAGAGAAATTTCAAAAATCCCAACCTTCCTCAATCCCCACTTCCTGCCCAGCTCCTAAATTAAATTCATAGTTACCGTAGGCCACAGGAGTAAGTCTGAAGATGGTATGGAGAGGGCACCTCAAGTATGGTAGCTCATCTGAAAGCAGAAAGACCAACTGAGGGAAGACTTGTAGTATGGAGTAAGGTCAAGCGGGTGGAAGAAAGAGTCTAAGGAACTCATGAGTTTTCTTTACCTTGACCTAGAGTAATACAACTCCTCCCCTAAACCCCAGGCAATTATCAGGGTGGCCACCAAAGAAGCCACCCAAGCTACTAAGTGGCTAAAGAAGAAAATAAATCCATTTTAGATCCTTCCGTGCAGGCAAAACAGGACCCCATGGGAGGAAAGACTGTGGCCTACCTGCGTACACCAAAGGCCAACCTGTAGACTTCCCAGCCAGTTGGGTAGGCTGGAAAGGGAAGTGTCAGAGAAGGCAGCAGCACTTCCTTCCAGCTTGACCCAGAAACTGTCCTCCCCTAAGTCCAGCCTTCTAAGATATAGCCTCTTTGTAGCCAAAGTAACAAGCTGGGAAGGTTCAACTGCTTTTCTGATGCTGCCAGAAATGTTAGCTCAGGGCTGCCCGTTAGCCAAGCAGGACTGAGGGGCTCCAGCAGCAGCCATTCTCCAGCAGGGGCTTTTGTACCAACAGAGTCAATTCAGCAAGAAGTTGGCTCAGTGGCTGCTGGGTGTCCCACACTGCTGCCTGAAGAATGCGCTCCAATGTGAGTGAAAGAAGGGGAGATCCAATTGCCTGGGATCCTGGTGCCACACAAAGGTCCAGTCCCCTCCCACGGATGTGTCCCCTGGCCCTTCCCTCAATGGTACCTGCGCCCTTATCCAAGAAGTAGGCCAGGAGGCAGCGCATGACAGCCTGGTGGGAGATGACGAGGACATTGCCCTGCCGCTCCAGCTCCATGATGACAGGCTCCAGCCGCTGCACCAGGTCCTGGTACGACTGTGGGGGGAAGTGGGACAGGCTGGTAGGAGGAGAGGTGCAAGCTGGCAGCCAAGTCAGTGGCTGTGTCCAGAGTAAAGAGGACACTGCTCCTTCTTCCCCAGCTGGCTTTCCTCCTGGAGGCTCAGCGGCTTCATGTCGCCTGCGAACTCTCCTAGCCCTGGAATCTCTTAAGAATATTTGGAGCCCGGCCANGTGGCTGTGTCCAGAGTAAAGAGGACACTGCTCCTTCTTCCCCAGCTGGCTTTCCTCCTGGAGGCTCAGCGGCTTCATGTCGCCTGCGAACTCTCCTAGCCCTGGAATCTCTTAAGGATATTTGGAGCCCGGCCGGGAGTGGCTCAGAGGTTGAGCGTCAACCTAGGATCCAGGCAATAGGGGTTCGATTCCCGGGCAGGGCACATGCCCCGGTTGTGGGCTGCAGCCAATCAATGACTCTCATCGTTGATGTTTCTCTCTCTCTCTCTCCATCTCCTTTCCTGTCTCTGAAATCAATAAAGATATATTTAAAAAAAAAAAAAATTTGGATCTCTCAAGGGCAATATTCAGACTGAGAAAACTTCAGGTCAAGAAGAGAAAAATCTGAATTCAGCATGTGGTTGTTTTTTTTCTTCCAAAGGTTAACGAGCTGAGTATAAGGCAACAAGGGGTCCCTAGGGGTTTCCTGGACCTCTGCCGCACTGTTTGTTTACCTTTATTTACCTTACACCCCTAGACTAGGAAGCCACTTAGACCAGGAAATGGACCGAAACACTGGAGGTGATAGGGAAATGATTCACAGCCCATATATTCACTTGGTGCCCATAACTGGGGGTGGGATTTAGCAAGTGGGAAGAAAAAAAAAGAAAGTAAAGAAGATCGTGTTGATTCTACGACATGCTCAAGACAGTAGTATATCTTGTCACTCTTTTCCCCTAGAAATCTTAATAGCAAATTAATAAGGCACTGGACTGTCGAAGCTGAATTAAAGGCAGTATGACCCAAAGATAAGAGCATAAACTAAATGATGCTTTAAGTACCCTTTCTAGGTCCCCAAAATCGCATTCAGTCCTGCCCCCAAGTTAGCACTAAGCTCCCAGAGCAGGGCTGGGCAGCGGCCCCACAGGAAGGGAATCTCACCTCCCCACCAGGATATCGATAAAGATATTTCTCTTGATCTCGAAGTGCAAACTCGTCTGGGTACCGCTTCTCAATCTCTGTGTAGGTCATCTCCTCGCACACGCCCTGCAAGGAGCCACACTGGCTTAAAGAGGCAGACTGACCCACAGAGCCCCACCCAGTTAAGGGAGACGACACTGAAGAATACTAGTTTCTTACGACATGCCAGGCACTGTGCCGGGTCCTTTCATGTCCTGCAACTGACTGGCTAGGGTGTCTGGGACTGGCAGGGTGAGGGCCGCTGCAGAGAGGAGGCGGCTTCTCTAGTGTAAGCAGCCACTTTCTCCTACTACTGTGGGGAATTTAAAGGTCAAGAAGAGTCAGCAGAATAAAAGGAACAGGAAGCAGGGAAGGAGAGGAAGTTGAAGGGACTGGAGAATTCTTGCAGATGGCATAAAAGGGTGCAGAGGAAGGAAAGAAAAGAAAGGAAATGCCTACTTTTGTGCTCAGGGACAAAGAAAGCCAAGAAAAAATTTGGAAAGGACTTTTTCAGAACAGCTGACCAAATGATCTGAGCAGAAATTGAAGAAATAAATTGTTGGCTATTTCTTTTTCCCAGGAAGGAAATTTACCAAGGAACCAAATGGAACTCCACTCTCCCGCTGCCCCAGAATTGGCTTGAGCCCCATGATTGGCACAGCTGCTCAAGCAGCAGGAAGCCCTAATTAGGGGTACAATTGTTCCTACTTCTTCCCCAAACCAGCCATAGCTTCAGCTTCCTCAAAGTTTCTACTTGGTGGTTCTAGTTTTAGATAAAACTGCCCACACAATGACTCCTGAGAGTTCCTGCCTCAACAGAAGAAGACTACTGGCCATCAAAGCTTCCAACTCACAGCATCAATCTCATTCAGAATCTTCCACTGCTCGTAGGTCACCCCCAGGGACTCAGCAGTCTGGATAGTCCTCTTCAGCTGGCTCGTCCACACTTTGAGATCTGCTATCTCCTGTTCCTCCAGAAACTTCCTTAGAGCTTGGGCAAACTGGGGTTTGAAATAAAAATTTTAAAAGAAGAAACACACACACACATACAACTGCTAACTCAGCCTACAAGGGCCCTGTGCACGACTGGGGTCAAAATCTGAAAGGCGAGCCCTGGCCGGTTTGGCTCAGTGGCTAGAGCGTCGGCCCTCAGACTGAAGGGTCTCGGGTTCGATTCCGGTCAAAGGCACGTACCTCGATTGCATGCTCGATCCCCAGCCCCAGTCGGGGCGCACGCGGAAGGCAACCAATCGATGTGAGATGTTTTTCTTTCCCTCTCTCCCCCCCTTCCTCTCTCTCTCCGAAAAGCAATGGAAAAAATATCTTGGGGTAAGGATTTAAAAAAAACAAATCTGAAAGGTGCAATGAACCCAAGAGGAAAGCAGCTTCAACTGAAGCACCCTGTACTCTGCTACGCACACAGGTTGTACCCAATAAATATCTGATGCCTGAACGACCACAGCAGAAATGATTCCAAGTTATCCACACTTCAGTGCTGAGCTAGCAGCAGGAAACAAGAGCACGTCTTTAGCACTTGCTTGACCATCTGAAACCTAAGCCCCAACGGGATTTAGACAGAAGCCAGGGGATAAAAGAGGCGACCTCCACTATGCCCTCTCATTCTAAGCCTAGGAAATCCAGCCTGCTGGCTAAACCACTCACCTGTTTTCCCCGCACTGAGAGGCCAGAGTCACCCCCAATCTTCCCCAAGAGGTTGAACTCGCTCTCTCCGTGCCGGCAAAGGTAGATGGTGCGAGGGTGGACGTGGATATTCATGAGGTAGTAGACTATCTTGCTCTGGATGTAGTCCTGGACTCTGTTCACTAAAAATCGCTGGCCCACATTTATCACCTTGATGAAAGAAAGGTCCCTGGGGCAGAAGGGAAAAAAAATCCCCTGGGTATGAAAATCTGAGGGTAACAGTAGCAGGGGAAAGGATTTCATAATTACTTACAGCCCTTCCCACATTTAAGGAGCTGAGTGGTAAGAGCTGTATTACTCCCCAGAACCAAGACTAAGTAAAATCTCCCGAACTTCTGGGCAGTCCCTCAGTGTCTACACTACGCCATGCAATGTGTAAGTGCGATCAACGGAATTCAGGCTTCCCTCAGGGGCTACACTAGATGCCCTGAAGGTACTGCTGACCTTGAAATCCTGTGAGAAGCACGACTTCCATCTGAGGCGGTGGAGACCTAACCAGAGTATAGCACCACCGGCGGGGAGGGGAGG